TAAGGGCGCCAGGCGGTGGAAAAGCGAAGCCAGTGCTGCCCCGTGGAACAATCGACGAATCTCGCCGGTGATCCTCGGTATAGACAAACAATCTTATCCGGCCACCGACGAATAAAACCTCCGTCGTCCTCCGTTCCTTCTCTTTCCTCTCTCCTTTCTCTCTCCCTCTCTCTCACTCGGCTGGCCGTTCATCCGATTCACTGAGTCAAATCTCCACCGAGTCGACCCCGCCGAACCTGTGTCGGCTCCGGACACGTTGGAGGGTGCATTTTTCATGATGCATCTGTGGAAGCGCTCGACTTGCGGCGTCTTACCTGTGGATAAGGCGCCGGTTTCTTTATAGAGCGGACGTGAGATGGTATTCCTCGCGGCCGGCGATATCGCTCTATGACATTGCGCGGCCACTTTGATAGTAATTTTCGACGTAATGCGCCCGAGTTTTTCAACGTCTGTCTGGCTGGCGAGAGAGGGAAAGAAACGACGATCCCGAGCCAGCGAGCGAGAAAGTTCGGGGAACACGCAGATAGCGTGGATTCGTTTGGTAAATTAGCGTGCACGGATCTGTTTATACGAGGAACACTTAGACGAAGTTCGTTTAAGCGAAGGCCGTTTAAGCGAGGCTACTCTATCCCGAGCGCGCGTGCGCCCGATCTCTCTTCCTTTCTTTTCCTTCGTCCCGCAAATGCAAATGTCGCTGTTTGAGCATGAAACGCGGGGAAAAAATTAATTTAAGCAAAATTCCGGCTTAATTCCGGTCCAGCGGAACCGCCGTGTATGCATCTCCGCTCGTGCGGTCTCTAACGAAATGAAGTCGAACGACACCGCCGAGACTCCGCTCGTCTCTCTCTCTCTCTCTCCTCCCGCCGCCGTCTATATCTGTGTGAAGAGACCGGAGGCCCGCAAGCGGTAAATTAATTCGAACGACAAGCGCAGTCGGCGCTTCCACTCGCGCCGAATAAACATCAGGGCCAGAAGTTGACCAGACCGGGCGCCCATGCCGCGCTGGAGGACGCGCCATATCTGGGATCTACGTGCCCATTTCCTGTGGCCCGTATAACGTATTTGGCACCGATCCTCCGCTGCATCTGCATCGGACGTCGCCGGCGTTGCACGGGACGGATTATGGGACGTATATCCCGTCGATCGCAAATTGCGTGATCCTATCCGGATTGACGCGGGTGTTCATCCGCGTCGGGACTTTTCTTTCTTCCCGTTCTTCGTTCGTTCGTTCGTTCATTCGCTCGTTGATAATTGCGGAAAGTCGTCGAAGTTTTTCGACCCATAATCGTGTCGCCGGTATTATTATTATAGTGATATTAGTATCGATCGTTTGGAGGAGAAAGAGAAAAGTGCCTCTCCCGTGAATTCGCCCGAACGTTCGGCGGGAAACGGGAAGAGCGAGCTGTATTTCCCGGTATTTCCGCCGTCTTCCCCCGTGGGGTCGTCATTTGCCTTTGCTTCTCGTTTTGCGAATCCACGGTGGATTCGTTCGGAATGCTGTGTTATTTTATCGACCGGCCGCTGAACCGCCGCCGTCGCCTTACTGTTCGGGAGCGGCTCGCGACAGAGTGTAACGGCGTGATTGCAACGGTAGATTACCGTAGGCTAACTGCGTGCGTGGATTATAATCTAAACAAGGTATCATTAATTTTCGTACGTGTGGTGGGTACTCTCAGTGCCAATAAACATCAGAGACAGCAACAGCGGGCCAGCAGACCCGCGGCAGCCACTGATGCACTTTGGGTGCCGGCACATTCGAGATATACACCCGCGTGTCCGTATAATATATTTAGTATCACACGGTATCCGCAGCAGATGTTGCCGTCGGGCGGCGGTCCACACTTCGGACTTCAGGTCGAGCGTTCGTTCATTATTTCACGACTAGCTCATGTTAATTTCGAACGAATGCGGGCTTGAATATTTCGTGCGCGAGCTTTGCTGAACGCGCTCTTTCGAGCGATTTAGGGAGCCGCTTTTAGCTGCGTCGACTTCACGCGAATGCATTAAAGGCCGGTGTTAAATTAATGAAATTTCGGCACATCCGCGACACGCCGGCGGCGTCTTCGGGAATCGTTCGCTCGATAATTTAATCAGGAAGCTCGTGCCGCTTGCGACGAACCTTTTCTCCCCGGTCAAACGTGAAAACCTGTCCCGTTTAACCCTCGGACCGCATTCTGGGTCAGATAGACTCGGTGAGCTGTGTTTGAAGAGCTACAACGAAAAGAATTGCGTGATATATGAGTTCTCACGAAAAATCGTTAGAGAGCCGCTGTGTCCGTTAGATACGGCGTGGATCTGATAAGTCAATTAATGCGTGTTTGATAACCGGCCGAATTTCATGCCAGGTCAGTTAAATCCAAATCTGGCCGGTATAAAATTTGACGCCACAAGTGACTTTTTGCTGAAGATTTATGCGCGAACGTAAGCACTAAGCGTAAGCAAACACTGTGATTACGTGTATTTTCTTGGAAGATAATAAAGAATGGTGTTTTATTGAGGTCAAATGGCGTATAAACTACATGAGCGTCCTGCAACGTGCGATCCTAGGTAACTTATTATTTTCTTAAACAATGCGTGTTATCATTTTGCAAGTAAAAAATAAACTATTTTTTTATACTTTCATAACATAAATATTTTTTCCCCAAAAACACCTATTTCCGACATTTCAAAATATTCTTCTTTTAGTTGTTAAAAAAAAATATATATTTTTCGAACATACATTAAAGTCATTTTTCTGTTAGAACTATCTTTTAACTTCATCGTCTTACAGTTGTAGATCAAAATAATAAAAAGTAAAGAAATTATGATTTTTTTATAAAAAAACACTACCTTTCGCGAGACCACCGTCTAAATTCAAATTTTTTTCAATAACTTGAAACTTGATTTTTTATAAATGCATGATCAAACATTAAAGTAGAAGATTTGTACTTTATTCCAGAATTTTGTAAACCTCTTTCCTTTTACACTTTCTCAGATACAAAATTTAGAAAATTACACAGGGCCGATATGACTCTGTTTGCGAGCAACAATAAAGTTAAGTGTGGGGTAAAAAGGTTAATGTATATTGTGTTTATTTGAGGAGAAAGTCGCTTGGACAAACTCGCGTTTACCACCACCATTGCGTGATGAGCCGCGCGAAAAATCCCGACCGATATTTAAAAACACGATATACTCGTATTTACCTAACCGAAAAAAAAAAAAACGTTACAATTTCGAAGCGCGGGCTTTTCAGATAATTTTAGCACGCGCGATTTACGTGTACGCGCGTATCACTTATTTTCGCAACGGCTTAATAATCGACGCTCGGATAATCCATAGCCATGCGCGGGGTATGGTACGCGGTATCTATCGGTGGAATTATGTCAAGATCGAGTACGGCTGAAGTTAAATCGGATTTATAACATCGAGCCGATTGCACGAGCGGTTAATCGATACATCAATCACAGAAAAAGGAAAGAGCAATTATCCCGCGTTGCGCAGGCTATTAAGCTTTTATCACGATATTCTTAATCTACGAATATCCGAGATAGCTACTCCGAAGCAAACCAATTAGCGATAAAGTTTAACTCTAACGTATATACACACAACTGAAAAAAAAACGGTTTATTCGAAGCTCGATTCGGTCGTATTTACTCCCTACCGATTCAACGAGTGATACGTTTGTTTAACCCCTTCATCACTGTGGAAACATACGCGTCCGGAGAGATTCAGAAATTTATCGTTGTATTTTTGTCCCATTAAGAAATACTATTGAGACAAATATGTCCGCATTCTTTCGAGTCTTCCTAATGTAATTCTTCTGTACAGTTTCTCATTTATATTTTGCACAATAAATTATTATTGTAATTGGAACAGTCTCAATTGTCGAGAGAGAGAGAGAGAGAGAGAGAGAATCAAGAGTGAAAAGGTTAAGTAGACTTAACGAAATTCAACGATATTTTCTGTGAATAGAAAATTCCCCTCCAAAGGAAGCTTGTTACTTAATACGCTAATAATACACTCAATTACTTCTACCGTTCGTTCGAAAAGTCGTTCAATACGCGTAGGGTATATTCAATTACTTCATCCGCCACTTACTTGAGAAGCTCATTCAGGGAGGAAGAAAGCCGCCGCCGGCGAAATTTGATAAACGTTTGACGATCTCTATTTAGACGTCGCGCACTGCAACATGGAATATCGCGCAATAAATCGCGACGCCGTGCGGGGAGCGTGAAATATTCGGAAAAAAAACGCGATCGCCTCTTCTATTTACTGCTATCGGATAAACATTCGGGCAAGAATCTGACAGGTCGGACGGTGGCGGCCGCGCTTCCGTAGCGAAGTGGCACACTCGAACTGCACTTTATTTATTTTCCGGAGCCGTGTATTGCGCTGTTGGCACGGTGCCCTCGTTGCATCTGCGTTATTGCTCGTTGTCGGGCACAACAGATTTCGCACCGGACACCCTTCGCGATGTATCGACTGCCCGCGTCAATCGCAATGAGCGCGGCCGATTTAATGGACCAAGAATGATATATGCAACAGAGAAGCTCGCCGCGCTCAAATCGCGAACGCATCTCGGCCCGCTTAATTGTTGCGGATGTTTCTCGCCCGCGAGCTGTCTCCAGCTCTTCTCCCCGCGGCCGTGCGACAGTCAATTTCGAGCGCGAACAATCGCGAAACCTCCCTCGCATACATAATTCCGACGCGGGCGGGGGAAAAAATCGCCGAGACGGGTCGGAAATCTCCCGCAGCTGTTTCCGGAACTTCCGAGAATTGCTATTTCGAAACTCCGGAGCACCGTCTCCGTAAAAACCCTCCCTCGCGCCTTAAACGTTCGCCTTGTATACGCGTAAGTGCATAATATATAGTCGGAAATGCGAATGGCGTGTCTCATAGATTTCTTGGGAGGTTCTCGATCTCACCCGCGTCGGTTTTCTCCGCGAGCGGCGGCCCCGAAGAAGCCCGCGGAGGGGCACTTCGGCGGAAGTTCCTCTCGGGCCAAAGTTGAAGTCACTCACCGATTGGCACGTTGACAGCGAAGAGAACGACAAGGGCGCGATGGCAGAGCATTGTGCGCTGCGGTGAGAAAGAGAGAGCCGGGGGAATCGTCCGTCGATGGCGGCAGGCTGCTCCCTTTATCTACTTAACCCCGTCATCTTCTGCGCGGACCTCCGTTTCCGGTGCTCTGACGCATAGCATGCCTGAAACAATCGCGGAGTTCGATCATTTACTCGATCGGGCAGCGTCACGGGGCCGCCGTTGTTCGCCGGAACGACCGCTTTATCGTCCGTTTCCAGCGAGCGAACTTTCGGCTCGCCGCCGCTGCTGCTGCAGCTTTGCATCTCCGGGAGCGCTCCGACTCGCGCGCGCGTTCTCCGGTCGAGCGTATCGTTTCGCTTCGTGACGTTCATCGATCGTATCGCGACGAACTTCGCTAAGAGCGCACCGCCGTTAATTTCACCACCTCCGAATAAGAAATTAGTTTGACGCGAGCTCTCTAGTGAGCTCTCGCGTTTACGGTCACTGCGCGGTTGCCGTCGCAATTGCCTTCGCCGCTGTCCTTCTTCATTCGAGAACCAGATATTTACGCGCCCCGCCGGAGGAGACGTTAAGTGTCGTCGATGATTGATCGGCTCGTTTGATTCGCTCGAATTCGCGCGGCTCGACGCGTACTGATCATCTTGCGCCCGTCGATTGTGATGGAATCATTCTACGCGAATCAGCTGGAAGTTCCGAGGGGGAGACTCGGTTAGTTTAGGTTCCCACTGAACATTTATACTTAAACGCTTGTATATCGCCTTCTATTATCTGTGCATCTCTGTTAGATCAACCGATGCGTAAATATAACATTAATAGGAAAAGTAGGGTAATAATAATAACATTGTTATATTTGTAATATTATATTTTTAATATTATATATATATATATATATATATGTTTACCTCAACTTCGTTTCAAATTAACAATTATTATTTAGGTAGTGAGATAAATACGTGAGAACACAATTTTATTCGATAAATATTAAATTTACGAGTGACCCCTTTAACGCGCTATTGAATATACGACATTAATGGACAGTATATCCTTAAGTTTGTAAATTTATTATCACGTCGACTGGAAGCGAGGATATCTTTCATATTTCTTCCAGTTCGCTTAAAGCTGTCAATTTTAATATGATAAAAGAAATATAAATTTAAATGAGACATTCAAACTTTCTCGGGGCATTCTAGTTAAGGGATCAATGAACCTGTGAAATGATATTTGATAATACCCTCGCCGTATTCGCTCATGGCCTTGCTATTGATCTTTCGAAATTCCAAGAATCGCAAAAAGGCAAGGGACGCGATATTTTCCGTAACGTAACGATAAATTTCAACGTTATGTATGTTTATTCCCGCTACCTCTGAAGATGCATGTATGTGAGCGCGGAAGCACACATCTCGCTTTAATATTACGTTAATACACTTTTACGTTCGATGAAGCTCAAATAACGCCGCGCACGTCGCTTCCATCAACTATATTATTACGATACTATTTACGGCGCGAGTTTTACAAAGTAACATACGTCGCGATGAATTTAATTATGACGCTGTTGCAATTTTGAGGGGCCTGTCAGTTCAAATAAGTTATTTTCGCGAATTTATAAATTATCACACAGGTGCCGGGGAGAATTTACGGGTGAGGCGAGACAGAGAGAGAGAGAGAGAGCGAGCGAGCAACGACGACGGGAATGCAAATAGCGCGTTTGTCACGTTTATGTAAGTACGTTGTCACGTATATTCGGCGATAAATTGCTCCTAATGCATTTCCGCTTCAGACGATTTCTGTCGCCGCGGGAGAAATTAATCACGCGTGTCCGTCGTCCATTATTTTATGACTCACGCGTACACACGCAAACGCGAGTTGTGAGCGCGATGCACGCACGATATACTGGCGTTACACACTTCGTAAAGTCGGCGATTTTATAAATCTCGCGATACACGCCGTAAGTTCCGCGTATTACACAGCGCGCGCGCGCGCGCACGATACGGCCGTCGATTCGCGATGCGCTTTCGTTCATTATGCACGTGGCCGTTAAGCGGCGATAAACCGCCAGTAATGTTATTCAGTTTCGTCGAAAATCCGGTCTTCGATCGCCATAAAATAATCAGAGCGCAACCCGGACACAATTATCGATCGTCGTGATCATATATTAATAACTGCGGTCGATGATTAAAATCGTAATTAAATAGAAATGCCATAAGCGCAGCGTTCGTCTCGTCTGCGTTCTCGGTTTACGCGCGGTTCAAAGTGGACGCGTGCGAAACTTCAAAAAGCGTCGGACGTCGTTCTTTACGTTATAAAAGTAAAACACCGCGAGAGATAGAGAGAGAGAGAGAGAGAGAAGGAGAAGCGATGCAATAAAACTATCGCGATTCTTGCCGACCGAATTAAGCCTAGCGTAATCCTGCCGCGATTATTCGACGCTTCGATAAGCCGTATCGCTTCGGCGTAATAAAATTTGCACGCGTTGCGGAGCACCGCCGAGCTACATTATGCGCGACTACGAAAGTGTGAACAACTTTGTGTGTTCGCTCTCGTACACACACACACACACACACATCCAGATAGAATCTCCTCGTTCTCTTCGCCGACAAATTTCATTAATCGCAAAAGCTCGACTCGCTCCGCCGCGAATATCTCGCCGTATACTCGCCCTCTCACCGCGCGTTTCATAACCGTCTACTTGCCGTTCATCATCGCCCGTTTAATGCCGCGCATTAATCGAACTAAAACACACCGGCGCACCGCGGCGCCGCTCCATCGCGTTCCGTTTGTTTCCGTTTCATCAGCGAGCGAAGAATAATACGTTAACAATGAACGAGCGGGCAACTCGATTATCGACGCTTGCAAGTTTAAAGCAAACACAGGATCCGGCGAAAGGACGCGCGCTTTCGCCGACATGTCGTCGGCGTCCACGATGACGACGACGGACGGGGCGAAATGCGAAACGCGAAGCTTCGTTATCGGCCACGAGAAGCCAATCTATATCGCAGGGACGGCAATGGCCACCGCGACGAGTCGTCGGCCCTCTCGCAAGCGGTCCGCTCGCAAAAAGTGGCCGATGGGGTTAACGGGTAATTTGCATTCGCACACGCGCGTTATCTCTCGACGGTGTCGGGCTCGTTCGGCAAAACGCCGGCACGCTAACACGCCGCTGCTTCCTGCGCGGAACGTCGATCGCTTTGGTCTCGCGAGTTCTTTCGCCCGGAGACGAGCAAGCTCGTCGGCGTTTCGTGTCGCGAGAAATTTCCGCGGCATCATTTTCAGCCCCGCGATCAGAATCGCGAGATCGTTCGTCGCGAGAGCCCGCGCGCGACGAAAAAATCTCAACGTAAGGGAAGTTCGCTTGAGTTCACTTATTTTCATCCCTCGGCTCGTTAATCGAGTATCGTCCTTTTCGCATCGTAATACGATCAATTCCGTCGATTCTTTCGCGAGACCTGAGACAGGGATATCCTGCGGATGTGAGTGGCAGCGGTGAAAATATGAGGGAAGGAAAAATAAGCGTTAAGAGAGGAGCTTTTAGACCGTTAATCGAGTATCGTCCCCTTCGCACGCAATGCGATACGATTAATTCCGCTTTCCGCTGATCCTTTCGCGACTGCGAGCGCAAGACGCGCCTTCTCAAGGAACGAGGGAGATATCGTGCCGATAAACGGCCATACCGGCGCATACACGGGGATGTTACGTGCATAGATTACAAGATAAGCGAAGGGCGGTTTGATAAAGCTGGCGTGCGAGATAATGCGGCCGAGATAATTATTTTTCAGGTACGACTGTTGGTAAATCTTATTTCCTTTTCGTGATTAATTGGCGGGCCCGGGTGGGTGTGATAATGGAACGCGCGGGATAGATACCGTGGCCGCGAGAGGGAGGGTGAAAAACAGTTCCTCGGAATAAATGTCGGCCGAGCCATCTTGATGCGCGTGAATGACGAGCGCGCTGATATACATGCAGATCGTTAGCGAGAAATTCTAATTATGAATTTTACTTACGCGTCGCATAATTTCTCTCCTTATCTATGGAAAAGAGGGCTTATATCGATTGGACGAGTTACTGGGGGGGAAAGGCACAAGTGTCAGAATATCGACCTGCGAGTCTCCGACGAGAGTAAAACGGTTTTCGGAACGCCGCCGGAAAACCCAACTCTTTCCCACTCAGCCGTAATCGCTCTTAGATATTTGTTGTTATCATTCAGTTTACGTGTTGATGTACATCTACTGGGTGAGAGGCAATGTTTATTGATTACATCAACTGGAAAATCTTCGAAATATCGGAGAAAAATTTGTCCTACAGAATCGATATCGATCTCGAAAATCGAGTTTGGTCCTATGTTAAGTCTTTGATTCTATAGCACGCTAAGAGTTAAGATAGCAAGTTAAGTTCAATTTAAATTCTAATAATATATATAATTTAGACCGATATATTTATATATAATCGAGTCTTACACTGAAAACCGTTTTACACTCAAAATCGTCTATATATAATCGAATCTTACACTTAAAACCGTCTTAGGTTTATCTTCAGGTGCCCTAAAGCTCATTTCATTGGCGAAATGAAATTAAACTTAAGACGGTCTTAAATATAAAATCTGACTATAAATGTCGACCTTAGTCCTTTTGACCCTGATGACGTCTTAAATTTTTGGTTTTGCTATTTTAGCGTCAACATAGGTTGGTCGTGGTAGCATTAAAATTAAGTCTTTAGAATTAAAAATTCAAGAGAGAAGTTAATAATTCAATATCGTTAAAATAGATTTTTACTAATCCATAGGCTGTCTAAGTAAGTATAAAATGTCCTTGAAAGCTTCAAAGTAGTATCAAAATTTCGATTCAGAATACCAGTGGTCATCACTTCGAACACTTTTTGTAAATACAAGCTTTTCTAAATATAAGCTTTTTTTTTACCTGATCTTTAGCAAAATGTTTCTATTTTTTAAGAATGTTATAGGATATCATAAAATGTTCCTGTTTTTTTCCGTTTTCTGATATATTTAAAACGGTAATAGTTATTGCCTCATTCAGTGTACATAATATATAACTCGCACACATAAAGAAAAAAAGTTATTCCTTCGTCGTAGCGAAATCGTGTTAGAACACATTAAACGAACTCTGAAGCGGCCGGAGGGAGCGGGCGGGGTGCGAGAAGTACCCGGCGA